CCAGGCTGGGTTCAACCTTTCCCTCCTCCTACCTCAGACACAGAGTGCTGGCATTATAAGTGTATGCAATTAGGCCCAGTGGCAGGGCTGAGCCTGCTGAGGGGCACCAGGGCAGGTCTGTGCATTTGTCCTGGGTGAGTTCCCCATAGGATAAAGAAAGGATGTGGAGCCAATCAACAAAACAGCAGCAAAAGAGCAGGAGAGGCAGAGGTGCTTGTCTTTACTCCTTCACCCCTGGCCATTATCAAACATACTGTCATTACTGAGAAACAACAGCTGTGTGTCCTTGCTAGGTCATACTGCACATGTGTGGTTGATTTATGGTTACATAAGTAAGCCTTGTTGGGTGCCTGCACTAACGTTGGAGTCATGTGCTCAGGAGGCCTTAAACACCTGGGCTTTGATACTTCTCACAGCGGCCCCTTACACCCAGCTAGCACACAGATGTAATGAACCATTATTTATTTTCTATAGTAGCCAGGCTTTATGGCACTCAAAATTATCTAACCATGTGTTAGGAGGTTTGTGAAGTATAATGGTTTACATTTTAGATGGGTGATAAACCAATTTGGCAGCAACAGAACTCTTTATCTGTATATTGAATGGCAATAAAATAAACAATAAAATTTTGTTTCACTATATGAAATAAGGAACCATCTTTGGTACTACTTTTAGACCTGCTACAACTTAATTAAGAAAATAGGTACTTGGTGTCTGAGTTATAAATAAAATCTTATCAAAAAAAGAAAGTATATAAAACATAGAACCTCAAAAAAATATATAGAACCTCAAGGGCAAAGAAGTATTTACGTCCAAGTGATTTGCCTCATTGTTCTTTTTAACTAAAGCTAATTTCCTTCTTAAAAAGTACTCACACTAATTATTTTTTCTAAGCAAGAAATCTTGACATTATTTCATTTCCACACAGCAGAAACATGAGATACAAAGTACTAAATTAGTGGATTTGAGGGAAGAAAAATAATTTTAAAAAAGAATATAGACTAGGCAGCATTTTTCCAGAGTAAAAAGAGGCATCAGCACAGTGACTGAGGACCCAGAGTAGTGAAGAGGATTGGGGGCTGCACAAGCAGTAGGCCAGCAGCCAGAGATGTGAAGCGCTGAGGGCCAACAGAAGGGTGGCAAAAAGGGACAGTATCCTTTGAGCTTTGATTATGTTGGTCAAATAATAAATGGATTAAGTAATAGATAAATGCATTGATAGTAATGGCAACCAAGTTTCCGAATAACTTACTTAGAAGCAAGGCTAGAAAAGGCACTAAGGTGTGTTAGATTGGAATTGGAGGCATAAGTATGAAAGTTTTATTTCATGTGTGTGTGTGTGTGTATATATATATATATATATATGCTGATAGATGTAGAAATAGTTGTAGATATATATGTGTACATCTGTGTGTTTGTGTGCTACACCCCAATAACAGTGAGCCCAGTATCCTTCCAGATAACATCTCAAAACACCGAGGAAAGGAAGGGAAAGTATGAGTTTTGCCCAGAACTTTTTATTTAATTATTTATTTTTGGAGGTGGGATCTGAGTAGCTGGGACCACAGGCTTCCAGAATGTCTCTGTACATCAGAAACTAGGGAAATCCTTAGAAAATCTCAGGGACATTTCAGAGGGTCCAGGATCCAACCTGCTAGCCATGTAAGTAACAAATTTAAGGATGAAGAAATGGTGGTGTAATAGTGGATTATAATGCTTTGAGTAAATAGGAATATACATCAGTAAGCAATAAATCAGTGGAGGTAGAGGTTGATGACAAGATGTGAAGCAGTGAATGTGAATGGGCTAATAGAAGCTTATTTGGCCACTGTCATAGAGGTAGTCTGGGAGGAACAGCAGATTCTGACATAGTCTTGGAATACCTCTTCACAAAATAATAATCAGTTACAAGAGGGAATAGGTGACTTAGGTGGAGGATTAGGCAGCAAAATCGCGTGTGGCAGGACAAGTTGACATCCTGTGTTCCCTGACACATCATCTGTGGGGTGTTCTTGACAAAGAGTGCTTTCACCTAAGTCTTATCAGGAGGAAGTATCAACCCCTTTGAAAGGTATCCTACAGAATTGTAAGTTCTAAAATCTTTAAAGCCCATCAAAGACAGGAAGGAAGAAAAAGACTGGGGAAACTAAGATATGGCAACTGACTGCAGCTTTTATTCCTTAATAGCATGACAGAGCAGAGACAGTACTGGGATAGGTAGCATTTGACCAACATCTTTGGATGATAGTGTATAGTAACAGTTGTTTTCTGAATTTGAATGTACTGATTATGTTAGAAGATCTTTGCTATAGAGTATTCATACTGGAGTGTTTATGGAAGATAGGACTTCATGTATGCTCTCCTTAAAAGGTTTAGGCAAACCTAAACAGGTTAGTAATAACCTGTGATATGTGTAGGAGCAGTTGTGTGGACTTTGGAATAAAGGTAATACAATTGGGGAATCTGAATCGAGGGAATATGGGTGTTTTAGCCATTTATCTACAATTTGAAATTATTAAAAATATTAAAAGGCTATAATCAAAAAGATGAAGAAAAGTGTTGGAGATGTGGAGAACAGGAAATCCTTGGACATTGTTGGTGAGAATGTAAATTAGCATAGGCATTACTGAAAGCCATATAAATGTCCTCAAAAAATTAAAAATAGAACTGACATATGCTCCAGCAATCCCACTACTGGGTATATAGATCTAAAGGAAATGGAATTAGTGGGTCATAGAGATACCTGCATTCCCATGTTTATGGCAGTGCTATTCATAATAATCAAGATTTGGAACCAACTCTAGTATCTGCCAACAGGTTAATGGATAAGGAAATGTATATGCCACATTAAAAGGAAATGGATAAAGGAAAGTGTATAGCCACAGTGCAGTATTATTCAGCCTTTACAAGGAAGGAAATCCTGTGTGTTAGTTCCCTTTCTGGGTATAACTCAATACCAGATTGAGAATTCACAAAGAATAAAAGGTTTGTTTGGCTTGTGGTTCTGCAGACTAGGGGAGTCCAACGTTTAAGAGGCTGAGTTGGTGAGGTCTTTGTTGTTGGTGAGGACTCTACTGTAGTGTTCAGGGCAGCAAAGGGCATCACTAGGTGAGAGACAGCCACACTGGTTCTCTTTACAGACCTGCTCTTGAGGTGAGCCATTAATCCATGAGTGGAGTAATCACCTCCCCAAGTTGCCAACTCCTAATATCTCAGCAGTTTTGGTGGGGACCGCAGACCATAGTATCCTGTCAGTTGTGGCAGTGTGACAAACCTGGAGAGCATTGTGCTAGGTGAAGTCAGCTGGCACAGAAAAACAGATACTGCATAATCTCATGCATACGTAAAAAATTGAATTCATAGAAGCAGAGAATAGAATGGTGGTTAAGGGGTAAAGAGTGCCTGGGGGAGATGTGATCTAAGGATATAAATTTCAGTTAGGAATAACTTCAAGAGGAAATCAGTTTATTGTATAACATAATCAACTATAGTTAAGTACAATGTATTCTTAAAAATTGCAAAGAGCACTTTTTGGGTTTTTGTTTGTTTGTTTGTTTGTTTGTTTTTTTTGGTACTGGGGATCGAACTTGGAACCTTGCGCTTGCAAGGCAGTCGACAGAACCACAGAGCTAAATCTCCAGCCCCACTAAGAGCAGATTTTAAATGTTCTTACCCAAATATAAGTATGTGAGGTAATGCACATGTTAATTAGCTTAATGTGGCTATTCCATAATATACATATTTTGAAATTATTTTACATTATAAATGCATACTATTTCTGTCAATTAAAATAAAAATTTTACACATAATAAATGACTAAATTGTAGAAACTGATAAAATCATGTGGCTATTTACAAATGAAAGTTCTTAGAGTAATTCCTTTGGTTAATATATTATCAGCTTTACTTACAGTCAGGATTGTTAGTGGATGGCAGAAAGGAAGAGAGGGAGAGAGCCTTGGGGAAAGGCATATGGTATTGAGTGCTGTGCCACACAGTCTCCATCATCCCCAAATGAATTATTTTTAGCCAGAATTTATTATAGTTGATTGAGATAATGCTGCAGTTGAAGCAAATTTACTTACTCAACAATTACTTATTGAATGCTGCCATGTAGCAGGCAACATTCTGAGTATTGAAGGAACAGAAAAAATCTTTGCCCTCAAGCAAGTGCATTTTAGTGCAGAGAGATAGAAAACACTAAAATGCATAGATTGTTACATACTGATAAGTTCTGAGAAAAGTAAATTGGAGGGGGAATCTGGGAGTGTTGGTATGAGGGATGCATTTTCAGGTAGGGGAGAGACTGTATGAAGTGGGTGATTTTGACAGACAGCTAAAGAAGTGAAGTAAGACATGTATATGTTCAAGGAGACGGTTTTTGCCAGAGCACAGACCAAATGCCAAGATTGGGGTGGGAGCTTTTATGATGTGGTCTGCAAGGAGGCCTGAAGGCTGGGTCAATGAAGTACAGTAGCAAGCTAGGTCTGAGAAGTCGTTCAGGGCAGATAGCACAAGCCTTGTACTTCACTATGAGGACTTCAGTCTGAACAAGATGGGAAACATGGAGGGGTTTCAGTACAGGGGTGGCATGATATGAATTACATTTTACCTTAGCCACTCTAGCTACTGTGTTGAGAACCCAGCATAGAGACTGAAGAGCAGGGAAGAAATATGGGAGACCAGTTAGACCTTCACTTTATTACAGAGCTTTTCCGGAGTGGTAGCTAGCATTGGTCAAAGACCTTGTAAGATTAGAGTCACATTATCCATAGATCTTAAATGGAGAGCCAACAAGATTTATTGAGAGATAGAATGTGTAGGGTGTGAGAAAATGGGTTAGAGTTAGAGCAAAAGTATAACTTATTTTGAAAAGAATATTTTGTATTTTTATACCCTATATATAATTGTTTATTTTGTTTTAACATACATACCAGAGACTGTTTATAGGTTTGCTTAGTAAAGTTACTGATATTCAGTTCCCTCTATGCTTTCTTCTAGATTACATACCGGTTACGGCACCTCCTTCGTGCAAGGTGTGATGCTTCCCCAGTGACCAATAACATCATCCAATTTCACTGTGATCCTAGTTTCTGGGCCCAAAATATTATCAACTTAGGTAGGCCTATATATATATATATATATGTTTTTATGGTTTGTTTGTGGTACTTCAATTCAGTCGTCATGACAGGCCATTGAAAAGGTAGGCCCTTCCACCCCCAAGTGTTTACATTATCTTGTTTTAAGGACATGTCATTTCTCCTGTTGTCATTAATATTTATATATGGTAACACACATGCATGACTATACACATGTACATATGGGATGATATAAAACTGTCCTTTAGGGCCAGGGATTTAGCTCAGTGGTTCTGCCCCCTGCCTCACAAGCTCAAGGACCCATGTTCTATCCCCGGCACCAAAAAAACACAAAACTGTCCTTTGTATTGACCTACAGTATATCAAGATGTAAGTTTAGGAGTTTTTTTCTGCCCATAGAATCCTGTTTATATTGTTAGTGCTAGATTTATCAGATTTCATCCTGACTGTCATTTAAACAGGATTTTTGATAGAGTGTTTTCTGTTAAAATACCATTTTTTATACTTTTCTTGGCTTACTTTCCTTTACATTCATTTGTCAGGTACCTAATGGTTCAATTGTTTTATCTTGTGTGGAGAAGACTTTTCTCTCTTGATTTGTCAAGACAGAGGGAGAGAGAATTGATTGATTTACCCAATTGAAGTATAACATATATACAGAAAAGGACCCAAATCTTCCAATTTTAGTATATATACTGCTGAAGCGAGCACAAAAGGACCCCCCCCCCTTTTTTTTTTGTACCGGGGATCGAACTCAGGTCCTTGTGCTTGCGAGGCAAGCAGTGGAACCACTGAGCTAAATCCCTGGCCCATGGACCCAAATCTTAAGTAGTAGAGCTCCTTGATGTTTCACAGAAAGACCATCATTTGGTAAAGTTAAGAGCTGGAGTGTCTTTGCAAGCAGTTCAGCAGAAAGTTACTGCTTTAGCTTTCTTGTTACCCTGTTAGCTGAATAAAAATAGTCTTTTTGCTTTCTTTTTTAGTGTCTCCCATGGAAACTACACAGACAGAATTTTAAGAATTTTTATCCACTTTGCTTAGCAGCCACTATTGCCTTTGATGACAGGTTTTTTTTTAATCTTCATTTACTTTGTATCAGAATCATCAAAGATATTCTCATCCCCTGTCCTAAACTCTGAGTTGGAAAAGGTGAAAAAAGGCTGGAGAGAGTGAGTCAAGTATTCTAGGAACAAACTAGGAAAAGGAAGAAACGGGCTTACACAGTCTCATCCATTCAAGAGAAGAGAAAAAAAACAATCATTGAAGCAGAGGTAGTAGAAACCTCTTCATGCCCTTTATAGAAGTATATGTGGCCATTTGCATACTGTTAACATAGTAGGCAACTGGAATCATATACACTTTCACCTACTTTACTGGAAAGAAACAGCTTTACAAATAGAAATCATGTATATAAAAGCAACTCTTCTTTCCATGCCCTACTATTACATATTCTTGTATACTGAGAACCTATCATAAGTTACAAATCCACACAAGTAGTCATATGTAGAGATGTATGTGCTTAAAACATCATTATAGGAATTTAAGAATTACTTTAAAACTATATATACATAAATGGGCTTTTTTTTTTTTTTAGTTCAGTCTGTAGAGAAAAAACGGGATCTCCTTGTTACATGAGGCAAAATTCTGGTATAGTAAAGTTTAACACAATATCTTTTCCTGTAGCACTTAGAAGAGCTGTCATTTACAGCTTGGTATATTTGTTTACAATGAGATGTATATTGTAAGTCTTCCAAGATGGAGACAAGTTTCCCAGACTTGTTTTTTTATGGCTCCTGAGAAACATTTTATAGAACAGTGCTAAGGAAAAAGTACTGATGATCTAGATGAATATTGGTTAATGACTTTGGGCTAGGTCTTCAATCTCTAAACATTAGGTCCTTTACCATTTAATTTTGTTTTACATATATGCAATACATATACCTGTCACACCACTAAACACACAGTGAGTAGTGAATGATAGCTGTTTTTAAAGAATGAGTGTGCTCATTAGTAAATTTGAGTCTCTTCTACTGAAGACATAATGCTTGCATCAGATCAAAGACACCTTTAAATGCTTAACACTATAGTTGCAAGCCAGCCAACATCTTTGTCAGAGAATTACTATAGTAATGCATTATAAAGTGTAAAAGAAATGTGAGACTGCAAATTGTTAATATTAAAGAATCAGGGCTGGGGATTTAGCTCAGTGGTTCTACCACCTGCCTCACAAGCACGAGGTCCTGAGTTCGATCCCCAGTGCCAAAAAAAAAAAAAAATTGAAAGAATCAGAAATACTAGGGCTGGGGATTTAGCTCAGTGGTTCCGCCGCCTGCCTTGCAAGCGCAAGGACCCAAGTTCAATCCCTGGTACCCCCCTAAAAAAAAAAGAAAGACTATATCTGTATAAGACAAGATTTTTTTCATATATTTTCACCTAAACAGTATAGTATGGTAGATAATGCAGAAACAGACAAGACTAAGTTATGAAGCCATTTAGATTTTTTAAATGTAAAATAATTTAGAACAAATGTAAAATGTAAAGAAAAAAATGTATAAGCAATTTAGACCAGTTTATTCTTTTAAAAATGTGTTAATGTGGCTTGTTACTTTTCAGTGAATTAGCAACTTCTTTTAAAGTACTCATTTAAAATTTCTCATATGGCAAATTTTGATTAGTAAAACCTACATAAACAAAAGTTCTTTGGCATCTGTTTCTAGTCAGAAAGATTGAGCAAGGGAATACATTAAATACGGGACACATAACTTATAAAGTTATTTTATGATAATTACCCAAAGAGTCAAATGCAAAGAAGTGCAAGAGATTAACAGCACACTAGAAGCCCAAAGGATTCAACTGAGGGCCTAGATCCCAGCAGTTTACCAAGTCCAGCTGAAGGCCTAGAGTCCAAGGCAATGTCCTCCTCGAGTCCAGCCAGTGGCCTAGAGTCCACGACAGTGTCTCATGCTTGTCTATTGAGAATCTGCACCTGGAAGGCCCAAAAACCAGTGGTGGAAGCCAGAAAATCTACGCTGGTGAGATAAAGGATTTGTGCCATCAAGCTGAGGGATCCACATTGGAGCCAGAAAATGATGCTCATTGTGAAGATCAGAGCTCCCCTGATGAAAACAGCAGCCATTCCCAGCAGCAGCGAGGCCCTGAGCTCCTCCTCCGATGAGAACAGCCTAGTTTGCATCAGGAAAACCATACGCAACAAGGTTCTAGCAAATCAACAGGCCAAGATCTTCCCCTCCAATTCTCTTTTTTATGGCTATTGGTAACAGTTTTCAGATGGATCCTCCACACCCAGACCATGCTGATTCAGTTCAGCTGGGTGTTACAAGTTGACCATTAGTCAATCCACCACAGCATCCTTTATTTTCAAGACTTTAAAGAAGTGCTAAAGACCAAAACTTTCCTCAGAACAGCGGACCCTTGACTTACAAACTCATTTCATAAGGTGTGGTTGTAACTCAAGTTGGTCAGGCTCCTCTACAGAGCCTTCAAAATCTCTTGTATAATTTTAGGCCACACTTTCTTCCAGGCAGATCTCAACATCCTTAGACCTAAGTCAAAGATTTCTCAACCCCACACAGGAAAGGCTGTTGTAATGTTCTTTACAGAACTCTTTAAGGGTTAAATCTGTATCTGAGACTATCTGGAAACAAAAGCAGCCAGCATTTGGGTTGGGTTTTAACTCAAGACTTTGTTCTAAGTTAAAACTAACATTCAGGTTGTAATCCAAGTTGTTTGTATGTCAGGCCTGTCGTAACTCGAGGGCCCACTGTAGTTGAAATTTGCCGAAAATACCCAAACAATACAGTATTTGGTAATTACTCTTTTCTCTTTCATTAGGTTCTTTAGTAATTGAGGATAAAGAGAGCCAGCCGCAAATGCCTAAGCAGAATCCTGTCGTGGAACAGAATTCACAACCACCAGGTGGTTTATCTTCAAACCAGTTATCCAAGTTTCCAACCCAGATCAGCCTAGCTCAATTACGACTCCAGCATATGCAGCAACAGGTAATGGCTCAGAGGCAACAGGTGCAACGGAGGCCAGCACCTGTGGGTTTACCAAACCCTAGGATGCAGGGGCCCATCCAGCAGCCTTCCATCTCTCATCAGGTAAATTTGGAAGCAGGCCTGTCCTAACTTAGATAATTGTGGTATTGTGTTCAGCAGCTCTTAAAATAACTAAGACACCCAGAATCCTTTAATATAGGAATTTATAAAAATTTACCACATTAAGGATCCCTGAATTTAACACCTAGATTTTAGCTTTACTTAAAAAGAGATTTAATGGTTTATTTAGTTGTTTTGTCTACTTTCATCTACTGATCATCTTCATATTATACCAAGGGTATAAATGTATTTCCAAATAACCCATGCACCTGTGATTGATGGTAAAGGTAGTATAGCTGTAATTCCTGTATTTGTGCTTCAGAATAACAAGTACTTTAAGAATCTGCTCTGTGGGGATGCAGTAACACTGCATCTTAGAAACGAGGCAAAATGAAGTATAAAATAGATCACGGCTCATTAGAATATTAACACTTTCATATTTTTTTCCTGAACAAATACTCTATCCATGTTTCTTAATTTTACTAGATATCAAGTATTCTGTTAATTTTCAATCCAATTTTTGAAGCTAAAAGGCATATACTTTTATTAAATCATAAAGTTCTGTTTAGATGTGGACATACTTAGATTAATAAATGTTTCAGTAAAGTTTTGGAAGTCTAATTCATATAAATTATTATTTTCAAATACTTCTCTTAATTTATATTCTTCCTGTTTCTGCAAAGAATTTGACATGATTTAGGTAAATAACACAAATGAAACAGAATAGAGTTTCGTAAAACAAAGTATGTAGAGCTAAGCTAAGAATTCTTGTTATACTCAAGAACAAACCTTTGCTCAGAATTTCTTTATCCTAGTGTCAGGTGTGGTGGCACACAACTATAATCCCAGCTCTCAGTAGGCTGAGGCAGGAGGATCACGGTGAGTTCGAGGCTAGCCAGGGCCAGCCTGGGTTTACATATCGAGACCGTTTCAAAAAATGAAAACAAAAAAAATTTTATGTAAGTATTTTTCTAGTACTAAGAGGAGTATATGATACGATTCTTCATATAAAATGGCATCACCCCTCCCTCCCAAGTGCTAAAAATTAAACCTAGAGAATGCCGAGCTTACAGCCCCTTTTTATTATTTTATTTTTTTTATTATTTTATCTTATTTTTATTATTTTATTTTTATTTATTATTTTAAACCCAGGGTCAGACTGGGCTTAAACTTGGTATCCTGTCTCAGCCTCTTCAGTAGCTGGGATTATAGATGTATGCCACCATGCCCAGCTAAATGGTATAACATTTTCTGTAACACATGATTTTTGTCGGATTCTACAACCCTCAGTAAAAGTTGTGGGTATATGCAGAGCCAGTTCTTTTATTTCATGGTGCTAGGCTGAAACCCAAGGCCTTGCACATGCTAAGCTCACGAATTACTCTAATCTATATTCCCAGATATATATGATGTTGTTTAGATATTTCTATAGAGTCCTGAGGTGAAGTATTTGTAGTTTATGAGTTTCTAGTTATTTGACTAAGAAAGCACTTGAAATTCAGGGAAATAATAGCAGGCCTGTTTAAAACTTTGTTTCAATTCAAGTTTCAACAGGAAGAAAGTAGCAAGAAATTTGAAAGATCTTTGGTGAGTCATCCATTGGGAGAGAATAGTATGCTTAAGATACCAGGAGCAGGGCTGGGGATTTAGCTCAATGGTTCTGGCGTCTGCCGCGCAAGCACAAAGTCCCAAGTTCGATCCCTGGTACCAAAAAAAAAAGAACAACAAAAAGATACCAGGAGCATACCTGGTAGAGTTGAAATTTTTAAAATTGTGACATTACAAACAGAATAGAGTGTTAATAACATTTTTTAAGCTAAATGCAAAAAGGATAGAGAAAATATTTTTGAATGCATGTATTAAAAATCTTAAGTGAGATGCTGTGATTTTTATTTAATAGTTTAACCACAAAAATGATGACTCCATATTTCAGTTAATTTCCTTTTCACCGAGTAGTAAGGAACTGAGATATTTAATAGATACTGTGTGAAAAGAATTATTCATATAAACAGGAACAAAACAGAAGAGAACCTTGACCCTTTAGCAGACAGATTTGTTTTTGATCTTATATTCAGTCCCCAGGACCCTATGGTGTAACTTATGCACTGTACAGCTTTTATATAACATTATTTTCCTTCACAACTTGTAGTCCTTTCCTCACACATGGTCCCTTTTCAGTCTACTCTGCGCGCCCACATCTTCTTTTGCACGCTCATCTCTTTATCAGCTGTCTTCCAAATACCCACTTCTGTGTTTTTCACCCATTAGTATGCCCTTTTCTATCAACTTGTACACTGCCTTGTCCCCCAGTTTTCTTGGTTTTCTTCCAATTTGCTTATATGTGTGTATGGGGAACCATCTTTTTGAAAGAGATGTCTGTGTGCCTCTTGCTTTGTGCGAGTGTGCAAATAATACCATACAGTTGTTGAAAGGACTGCTCCCAAAAATGACTTACACAGTAGTTCCCTACTTGAGCAGTTATATGACTGATTGCTGCAGGTTTGATCCTATATTTATTTAATGCATACAGTACACTCCCTTAAATTCCAGTGGACATATCTGCTTGTTAGAGAACACTGTCTCATTTATTTATACACAGTTCACAGGAGTAGTTCTCACTGTGATTATGTCTGTTTGGTTAAACTCCAATTATCATTCTCTCTCTCTCTCTCTCTCTCTCTCTCTCTCTCTCTCTCTCTGTTTTTTTTTTTTTTTTTTTTCTCCCCCTCAGTCCTGGGAATTGAACCCAAGGACTTCACACTGAGCTACATCTACATCTTCAGTCTTTTTTTGTATGTATTCTTCTGAGACAGGATCTCAGTAAGTTGCCCACGCTGGGCTCAAACTTGGCGATCCTTCTACATGAGCTTCTATACTGCCCAGTACAGTCCCTCCTGGGATCACACCATACCTGGCATCTATTCTTAAGTGTTATTCTCAATCCACCACTGAATCTTAAAATTTAAATTCCATTTATTTGACCAAAATATCACTAGTATTGCTATTTCTTTTAAGATCATAACAGGTTTCTACTTTTTTGAAGTTGCTTCCTGTGCCACAGCATTCCCACCAACGAATCCAATGACCTATAACGGTGGGAGTTAGGGGTGTCACCTATGAGTTCCTCGATGCCAGGGTTGCTATCTGGTCCCACTGATCTCTTACATGACATAGCACAGTGCTCAGGCATCTTGCCATTCGCTGTTGAATCATACTAGGAACATCAGGCTGGGAGAAGGGAAGACTAGGTGGCAAAAACTTTACATAGACCAGCTTTATTCTCCCTTAAAGACCATTTGGGAGTGGTTTCCCACTTAAAAAATTAATCCTTTGGATAAATTTAGTTTTCCACTATTTCTATTATAATTGCCTTAGTTTTTGTTTCTGTTTCTATGATGTAGAACCCTCTAGTCAACAAAACTTTTTTTTTTTTTTTTTTGGTACCAGGGATCAAACTTAGTCAACAAAACTTTTCTAGAAAAATCAAAAAGAATTGCTATGGCTTCAGGCATATGTTTCTGTAAAATCTGGAAGCTTTTAGGTTTTTTTTTTTTACGGTTCTGGGCATTGAACCCAGGACCTTCACACGGAGCTACTTCCCCACCCCTTATTTTGATGCAGAGTCTCACTAAGTTACCTAGGTTAGGCTCAAACTTCCAATCCTCCTACCTTTGTCCCAGAGTAGTGGGAATTACAGATGTTCACCACTGTGCCCAGCAATAAAGTTCTATTGTTTTTCTAATACTTTTCTACTCTTGTGCAAAATTTTACAGTAGAGTTTGGTCCCAGAACAGTAGCTAAATCTGTCTTTCACTAGGCCTCTAATTGCTGACTATTCTTGAACGAGGGTAAACTCAGCACAAACAGATTTATAAAGGAGGAAAGCAGTTAACCCAGGACAGGAGAGTAAATTCCACAAACGTGAGAAGGAAAAAGAAATAAAGAGAGCGTATACTATAGTCCACAGCTGTCTGCCTTTACAGTGTCAGAGTGTGAGATGATGGTACTTCCACCTTACCTCCATTTATGTTTCCCCCTGGGAATGTGAAACTGAGAAGTTGTATACCTACACAAAAGAATATTACAGTAAATATAATATATATTACAGTAAATTTCCAATTATAGAGGTAATTGGATGATCAGAAAGAAAGAAAGAAGTATATAAAATTACTATTTTTCTAGAACTCTAGTCTCAGTCTACAGGACTGGCATTTATTGAGACTTATCCTCTAAGATGTAATTCATCAGTGTTTTTGTTGTTTTATTGGATTTTTTGTTTTGTTGTTTGAGATAGGGTCTTGCTATGTAGTTCAGGTTGGCTTTGAACTCACTATGTAGCCTAGGCTGGTCTGGCACTCCTAGTGATCCTCCTGCCTCAGCCTCTACAGGCCTTCACCACCACGCCCAGCTAGTCAGTGTTTAACAGCTAAAAAAAAAAAAAAAAAAAAAAACACATCAGAACATGTTTTGGTAATGATAGGGTAGATTAGATTTGGTGAAGGCCTTCATGCTCACTTTTACTACCTGTGTGACTTTTTCCAAATTATCTAAGTGTTTAATCTTTCTAATTAGTTTTCTGATTTGCAAATAGAGGGGAAAATATCTACTGCACAAGGCTTAGTGATGAAATATATGTAAAATACTGTCATAATGGTAGAGATCAATAAGATCTGAGACTTGTGGTGGGCCCCCTCATTGAACCCAAGGCCTTTGTACTAAGCAACGTCCCCAGCTGTTTTGAATTTTGAGGCAGGGTGGGCCCAAACTTTCAGTCTTCCTGCTTCATCATGCCACAGCGCTAGGATTATAGGTTTGCACTAGTATGCCTGGCTAAAACTTGTTTTTTGGAGGGGCGGGTGGATACCGGAGATCAAACTCAGGAACTTGCGCTTGTAAGGCAGGCACAGCGCCACTGAGCTAAATCTCTGGCCCAAACTCGTTGATTTTTAAAATATAATATTGGCCCAGGGATTTAGCTCAGTGGTGCTGTGTCTGCCTTGCAAACGCAAGGTCCTGAGTTTAATCCCCGGTACCAAAAAAAAAAAAATTAAAATGTAATATCATCCATTTTCATTATTGATGATTTGTTAAGAATACAGACCTTGGAGCTAGACTCTTCAAATCCCAGCTCTATCCCTTACTGTCTGTTAATCTTGGGCAAGCTATTTGAATTCTCTGTACTTTTAATTTCCTTATATGTAAAATAAATATAATCCCTACCTCATAGGATTGTTCTTAAGATTAAAAGAGTGAATATATATATGAAGCACTAAAAGCAATACCTGGCAGGTAATAATTCATCAATAAATGTTAGCAGTTACTCTGTCACTTTAAGAGGTTTGAAGAGGCGTTCTTTATAAATCATGAAGGATTTAGAAGGATACCAAAACCACATTTGTCTAACTTCCCAACATAGCCTATGTCCAGCCTACAAACCTAGTAGGTAACCTCTCTCCCAAGATTCTATCCTAATAAAATTATTTTAAAATTGATTACACAAAGCTGGCGTGATGCTACACACTTAAAATCCCAGCACCCTGGGAGGCTGAGGTAAAAGGATCACAAGTTTGAGCCCAGTCTGGGCAACCTAGTAATTTAGCAAGATGCTGTCTTAAAATGAAAAAGGGGCTGGGGATATAGCTTAGTGCATGGTCCTGGGTTCAGTCCCCAGTACCAAAAAAACAAACAAAATCATTTAATTGTAGGTAGATGTCAGCCCATCCCCGCCCCTCATTCCCTTTTATAAGACCCTTTAAACGTCTTAATGGAGGTAATTGTTACTGACATGGTTTAATTTCCTTGTTCTAGCAACCCCCTCCGCGTTTGATAAACTTTCAAAATCACAGCCCTAAACCCAATGGACCAGTTCTTCCTCCTCATCCTCAACAACTGAGATATCCACCAAACCAGAATATGCCACGGCAAGCAATAAAGCCCAACCCACTACAGATGGCTTTCTTGGCTCAACAAGCCATCAAACAGGTATATTTCTACTTCAGTTGCTTATTCTGTTTCTGCTTATCTTTTTCTTTAAATCACATTAAATTTATAGATTAAGCAGCAGGCTATGGAAAAGCAAGAGCAAGCTTGCTTTACTTTTTTTTTTAATGACTGAATTTCAAAGTTTATTACAGACTTATCTATGAAAACAAAGCTGAGACTCTGTGCTTTGTAATCAACAAGAGAAATTAAGCTACTTCTGCAGCAACAAAGGCCCAGTATAATGAATGAGTGCTTGGTATTAAATTTTATAATAGTAATGTGTATAACTTTTAGACAAGCACATTGTATTTCCTAAAACAAAAGTATTTTTATAAATCCAAGTTATATTCCACAAAGAGTATTTTGAAGAGATTTTTTTGGAAAGAAATTTAATTGTGGCACAGTTTCCATATAGAGTGCGTATGTATCCAATGAAGCATAGTATTAAAGGTTACATATTAAATCTGATAGTTTACTATGTTCTCTATGTCTTCAGGAAAAGATATCTGTAGAATTGCTTTATCTTAAAACAAAAACCATCTCAGTGCTTTGTCTTCTCAAATGCACCTCTGAACAGTCTTTCCAGCAGAAGGATTTTGGACTAGCCCAGGAGTTAGCTCAGTGGCACTGCACCTGCCTCCCAAATACGAGGTCCTGAGTTTGATCCCTGGTACTGAGAAAATTAAAAAAGAGAAAAGAAAAAAAAGAAAGTTAGAAGCCTTTTGGACTAATTTTGATTTAATTTTTTTTTGCTAAGGACAAGCTTCCTATGTATACACACAAAGATGATGATGGTATCTCATAATCTTATTCATTTTAATCAGATCATTTGAAAGTTTTATTTAAAAATATTCATGCTCTGTGTGGCTATGTGTTTGTGTGTTTGATGTTTGGCTTTGCTATATAATTACCAAATTTTCTTGAATAATATTAAATTAATTGGTTTTGTAATTAGGATAAGATATAAAGGAACCAAACTATAGTTGGGCCTTAACTTTTTAATTTTCCTAATAATTTTGTGGAGGTGGGCAGGTTTATTCATTTTAAATCGTGCTTAACTGTCCTTCTTCCTCATTTATTTTAGGTATTTTTGTTGTTACTGTTTTTTGGTTTTTGGTTTTTTAGGTACCAGGGATCGAACTCTGGTCCTTGCTAGCGACAGAAACACTGAGCTAAATCCCCAGCCCTGTTGTTGTTTTTGAGACAGGATCTCTCTATGCAGTTCAAGCTGGCCTTGAACTTACTATATAGTCCATGCTGGCCTCAAACTTGCAGTGATATTCCTGCTTTAGCCTCCTAAGTGCTGGGATCATAGGCGTGTGCCGCCACAGTTGACTATTTATTATGTTTTACTGAGTAGATATTCTTTATATTTTTTTAAATGTTTTCTGACCCAAAATCTAAACATGAATGAATAAATGAACTTATCATCCAGGAGAAAATACAGTGAGAAACTTGTTTTAATTTAACAAATTGTGGCGTACTCATACAATAGAAATACTGCATATATTAAGAAAAGTATATGATCTAAGTGTATTCATGTGAGAAAAATGTTACAGAATTATATGTGGTATTGTTTATGTATGTTTTAATCAAACATACACAGGAAAAACCAGGAAAGATGGCCACTATCTAATTGATTATTCTTGGGAGAGAAGTTGGATGGAGGATAGCCTATGAGGGGTAGGGGATGGTAAAGATGACATTCATACCCGTACCTTCATGTGATTCTATGTGTAGTTTTTATTAGTAGAACATATAAATTAAACTTTTCAAAATTAAAACTTTTGAGACATTATCTGCTCTGTAGTACCATCCATATATAAATGACTGTGCTGGGGCATTTTCCCCTTTCATAGTCATAGGGAAGCTTTCAGTTGCTTTCCTTTCCCCCCGATATTTTATTACGAAAAATTTCAAACATAACAAAAGTTGAAAGAATTTTACAGGGCATTTTGTTCTACTTGCCTTATCTCATATTATCTGTCTAGATGCTTATCAAGCCATTTTTATTTTATTTGGTTTTACGATATTGGAGATTGAACCCAAGGCCTGT